TTTTAACACCCAAATCTTAAATCCATCTGGGATTTATTTTAGTGTTAGGTATAAGGCAAGAATTTAGCTAATTTTTTCCTCCAAGTAATTATCCAATTGTCACAATGCCCCTTATTGAATAAATGTTTCTTTTCTCATCATTTGAGATAATAATAATAATAGCATAAGAAAAAAATTGGCAACTCTACCCCTTCCAAAGGAGTCATCATAAATAAATGAAAAATACAGTTTTCATCTGGAGCCATCCTGGAAAAATGACCACTACAGTCATAGAAGGGTGTCTGTATTTATCAGGTAGACCTTGCAGAGGAGCAGAGAATAAAGTACAGCTCACTCAGCATTCACAGCTCTGGAACAGGGATGAGGGACCCAGTTATTTGAGGAAATATTGCCTTTTCCTGTGTGCATTGAAAAGTAATGTCTGTTGAAAGATTTCAAGCACACAGCAAATTACTGTAAAGCTGACAAACTCATAGCAAGACCATGCATGTCGGAGTATAACTGGTTTCAGTGACTGCTTCTTCGGAGACAGATGCCCAGGGCTTTCTTCCAAGGCAGCTCTGGGTGGACTCAAACCTCCAGCCTTTCAGTTAGCAGCTGAATGCATTCACCGTTTGCCTCACCCAGGTGCTGGAACCACCATCCCTGCAGCTCTGAAATCCATTGCGGTCAAGTTGATACCGACTCACAGTGACCCCATGGAACAGAGACCTGCCTCATTGGGTCTCCAAACATTGCCCCATCCTCCCAGGGAGCAGCGGGTGGGTTTGAAAAGGCAGCATTTCAGTTAGGAGCCAAGCACGTACACCATTGTGCTATCAGGCTCCTGGAGCTTCTATTCAAGAACATTAGACCTAGAGACCCAGTTCCGCGCTTGTACCAGAGATCCAGCTAGACTTGATGTCACTCAGCACAGAGGCATGACTCCCGGGACAATGACTCAGCCTGGAGGCACTGGGACAGCGCACTTTGGCCAACGGCCAAGTTCAGAGACTTGGAGAAGGAAGCCCTTCGGGAAAGTAGTTTGTAGGCCAGACTAGGAGACTCAGGTGGACAATGAGGATGGGGCAGGAGTGGCTTTTGTCCTTATGAAGGACTTAAGTTTCGGGTTTTCACCACTTCAGTCTCAGGGAAAGCATAAGGGATTGCAATCTTTAGCTGACACAATAATTTCAAGGAGCCCTGGTGACGTAATGGGCTATTAGTCGGCTACCCACAAGGTTGGCAGTTCAAACCCATCACTGGCTCCCAGGAAAAAGATGGGACAGTTTGCTCCTGTAAAGATTTACAGTCTCGTAAACTTCTACAAAGCAGTTCAACTCTGACCTCTGGGGTTGCTAGGAGATGGAACAGTCTTGATGGCAGTAGGATTAGTTGTTATTTTTTAATACAATAATGTTGCTCTGAAAATTATTCTGCGTCTACAGCCTAATCAACTAGCCTTAGAAAAACCAAAGGTGGAGGATAGCAGAGGGACAGAGGCACCCCCACCCCCACCCCCCACTCCCAGTCTTCTCCCAGTTACAGCAAGGAAGGGACTTCATAAACTATGACTTGAGTTTCCATGTGTGACAGGCAGGGTCGCCATGGGGGGCCAATCATGGCAGGGAAGGACACTGAGTGTGTGCTTCAAGACAGAGTGTGTGCTTCAAGAAAGATGTGATAGTTAAGGTTGATTGTGCCAACCTGGCCGATAAACATGTGGGATTAATTGAAGAGCAGAGAGATAAATGGCTCAGTGAGCCTCGCCTTTCTAGTTCTCGGGTCTCTTGTTCTTTGATGGTCCGACCAGGGTGCAGCTGCCTTAACTAGTTCTCTGCCTCAGCTGGCAAGGCTCACTTCCTGCAAGATATCCCCAAGGAGAAGATGCATGGACCTACTCCGATGCAGCCCTAGGTGCTGGAGCAGCCGCGTGGAGACTCCTGCTAGTGCTGAGATGCTTACTCGCTCATCGATCCGGTTTTCCTCCTGCAGTCGGCATCATTGCATGGGTTTTGTGAGTTTGAAGAGGACTTTGTAGATCGGTGTCAGACATATGGGCTAATGTTGGACTTATGGGCTTGGACTGGACTGGGTTGGGATGC